TTGCTTGTTCTCCTGGAGAAACTATCCCACAATTGTCACTCAGAGACCACAAAACACAGAGCAGTGGCTGCTGGGTTACCATACAAGCAAGAGGGAAAAGGTATCAACAAAAACTAGTACATATTTGTAATTTCCAACAGCCTTTGGAATCAGTGGGAAGTCCACTTGTTAGTCTTCAAAGGTATGTCTCACAACACTGGGTCCTCTGAGTTTTTGGAAATTTTTCTGTTTTCAGGTTGTTTTTGGCACAAAGTTGGCATCTCTGGGTCACCTCTTGAATCGCTTGATATAATTTTAGTTCTGGGAGACATGGCCTGAAAAATTCAGTTAGTGCATCACGCCCATAATTAGAGCCTCAGAGAAAGTAGTTATTGCTAACATGAACTTCTCAGGTAACAAGAGGACTCCATGAGAATTTATCTTCCAGTGAGAGGAAGGGTCCCGTTCTTTAAAGCTCTGTTCTTGGGCTCTTCTCTTACTTGCTCTGAATATTCAGGCAGAAAGAAGGCAAGTCAATTTTAGGTAGCAGAGGGGAGAAAACCACAGTTCTGCACACAGCTGCTTTGGCAGATTGATGAGTCAGGTGGTTGCCTTGAGATTTTACAGTTTCCCCTTTGATGCTCAGGGCAGTGCATGATAGCCACCTCTTTTGGTGTGAGGACAGTTTTCATATCTCTTGAGGATGTTTTTGTCCTTACTATTACAGATTAGAAATTTTCTTTCTCTCCATATAGCTCCATGGACATGAATAATCAAGAAGACATACTTTGAGTCATTATAATTGTCACCCTTCTTCTCTTATGAAAGCTTAGTGGCACTGGCGAAGGCTACTAGTTCAGCATTTTGGGACGACATATCTTCTGGGAGAGCATTTGATTTCATGACCTCTTGTAGAGTCATTACTGAATACATAGCATGTTTTTTTCCATGATCCATGAAGCCTTTTCCATTCAGGAAGAGTTTCCAATCTGTGTGATCAAGTGATTGGCCCATCAGCTCCAGCAAAGACAGCATCAAGAACTTCCATGTATTTGTGGTGTGGGGGTAGAAGCTTAGGTCCTGCAGGCAGCAGGGTGGCTGGGTTTGAAGCTGATGTTGTTTGAAGGATTGCATTAAGATCATCTAGCAATATAACCTGATATCTCCCCAGCCTCCCAGCAGTTAGCCAGCATCTGCTCTTCTGCTCCAGCAGATATAAGACCTGATGTGGCACATGCACAGTAATAGAATTTCTCAGCTTCCTTCAGAACATCACAACTGGCTGCTACTGCCTGAGACAAGGAGGCCATCCCTTGGTTGTGGGGTTCAGTTGTTTTAGGAATTATGTTGCAGTGTGGGAAACTTAACCCAGTAACTGAATAAGAATTCCCAGTCCAATTCCTTGTTGCTCATGCACTTACAGTTGAAATGTTTTTAAGTTTAAGCAGTCCCAACTGGGGGCAGACATCAATTGGTTCTCTCAAGTTTTATAAGTAGTTACACATACCATTAATCAAAGTAAAGGCCCAAGCTCTGTCACAATTAAAGCCTCATATAGAGGCATTACTAAAAGTCCAAAATTTGCCTAACCTCCAGAGCGGACCATCATGCCAGCTCCACCAATAACTAGATGTGTGACTTTAGGCGACACTCAACACAGGTACCTCAGTTTCCCCAGGCATAAAATGGGGAAAAGGATAGTGCCCACCTCCCAGGGTCATGGGGACCCTATCTATGTATATGAATCCTAGTTAAATCAGCAAAGAGTTCATTCCTGACACCGATTCTCCTACCTGACAAGATAAGGTCAGTATGAAAGACGTAAATACGACAAAGAAAACTTCAGTCTTACACTAAATCTGAGAGGAAGCAGAATAGGAAATATTAAATCCATTTTATTTTATTAATATAATTTTAATAACAAAATAAATAAGGACGGATAGAAAAAGAAACAGTGTTGACAAAACTTACTCAGAAACAAAAATGTAGTAGTCTTTTGGAACTTTTGTAAGTTTAAATCAAAAGTATGTAAAAACCATAATACTCAGTGACTGAATTGAGTTTATTCTGGAATGAAACGTTAGATCAGCACTGGGATATAAACTAATATAATTATTAACTTAATGATTAAAAGGAGACCATTAATTTTCTTAATTGTTATAAATAAAACAAGGAGAAAATTTAATACCTATTTATGGCATAAAACATAGTAACACAAAAGTAAAAGAGGGCTTGAAGTTTAGGTCAGTGGTAGAGCACTCACCTAGCATACATGAGGTCCAGGGTTCAATCTCCAGCACTGAAAAACAAACAAATAGAAACATCTCAAATATTTAGGAAAAAGATATATAAAAATAGCTATAGTAGGAATCATGTTATTTAAAATAAGGAATTTAATAAATTGATTGTATTAAACATTTCTGCTCAACATGAACACACTAGCCATTGTAATCAGAAAAGGTTGTAACTTTTAGAAAAGAAGTAATATGTGTGTGAATAATATGGCCATTATTCACAGATTATATGATATATACATATATAAACTTAAGGAATATTCAGATAAAGTACATTCAAATAAATTTATTTAGTTCATAATAGTTCATCATGACATGTGGTATAAGATTAATAATAAATTGCATCTGTAAACACAGGAAAACAACCATGCCATTTGCAGTACCAACATAAATATGTTAACGAAGTCTGATAAAATTTACAAACCCTTATCAAAGAACATTATAAAACTTTATTGGAGACACTAAAGAAAAGTGATATAGGAAGAGAGATGTAACATTTTAAAGAAATGCATATTTTAAAGTTATCATTTCTCCCAGAATTCATCTATAAATTAAAATTCCATTCAAAATCTCAGAGGAGCTGGGCACAGTGGCACATGTCTGTAATCTACCACTTGAGAGACTGAGTGAGAAGGATCAATGTAGCCTGGGCTACAACACCACCAAGACAAATGTCAGAGGACCTCTTTTTGGAATTGGACAAGTCAATTGCAAAATTTATATAACAAAGCAAGTGACCAAGTGATAGGAAGACACAGTTGCAAGAACAAGTTATATATAGTCTTTGATATATAAAGACATATCTCTGAGCTGTTATGAATAAGCCAGTCAACAATTACTGCCAGAGAGATAGACAAATGGAACAATGTACAGAACAGAGAGTCAGGAAAAAAATCCAATCCTAAACATAAGAATAAAGGTGACATTGCACGTGTAAAGGACAGTCCATTCAATAAATGATGCTGTCACAGTTACTCATTCAGAAGAGAATAAAATCAAAACTGTGTGACTGGGGTCCTAAGACAGAGGCTCAATTCTAGGGGATCCCAACATATCAGTCTTAGTCACTCACCCCAATTGACCAAGCAGGTCAATACAGGAAAGGTATTTATTCAGTATGGCCATACCAGGAAGGAATTCTAAACCCTGTCTTTGGAATACTGACAAGGGCTTTGGTGTATAGGACAGTAATAAAAGCAAGTGTTGGGGGTTTGAAAACCTGGTGGTCTTGGTCAGGAGAGGTCTTGTTAATCATTATCTCAAGATTGGTCATTTCCTTGTTGGCAATAAGAAAGTTGTTACTGCTTAGGGAGGTAGTTTAAATTCTTATCACAAGATGTTTATCAATCAGACCTGTTGTTCCTGGTCCAAGGAGACTGCAGGAAAGAATAACTTATAAAAAGAACAAATCATAAAGGTAAGATGGAGTCAGTTAGGTCAATGATTGTGCCCCGCTTTGAGCTTAGGGTAATGATTAATGATGACTAACTGCTGCTCTGATAGTCTGGAACAGGACATTGTAAAAGCTGGCAATTGACAATCTGTTGATTATAGCATCCTGCAAATCTTGAAAGTATCTTAATTATTCTTATCTTGGTGTTTGTAACCTGGAGAGGGATGATTACCACTTTTAGAAGAACACTCCTCAAATGATTAACATGTCTGCAGGCAGGGGTGAACAGGAATTGGACTCAGAGTTTAAGGTAGCAAAAGGATACAGATGCAAATGAAAGCAGACACGCCAAACTTTTATCCTGTTTTTAATTATCCAGCAGGTATCCACAGGCTCAAATGAAGAGTTAATGCCTTTAGCCAAATTAGCCTCTAACTTTCTGTTACAACTCTACCTCATTTTTATATGTAAAATAAAATCCAGATGGTACAAAACTTATACAAAAATACAAAGTTTTAAACCTGAACAAGAAATTATAGTTAAATACCTATTTCTTCTTTGGGTATAAGGAGAGTCCTTAAATGAAAATTAAATTATCTTTGCTGTTCAACAATCACTACAGGGTTTATGTGACTGTTTTTCAGTTTTTCTAGCCCTCGCCCTGTAGACTCGTTTCTATTTTACTGCTGATCTTCTTCTTTGTCTTATGTGGTGTTACCATTTGGCAGAAAATTTTGTCCTCCAAAATTCAGTGTAAGTGAGGGAGAGAGATGTGTGGGCCCATGCTAATTCATGCTTGTAGCAGCGCTGGAGTCACAGATGCTCCTGGGCACCTGATCTTTTATTCCAGATCTAGGATCCTGGGACTTTTCACTTGGGTCATAGGGACAACAGTCTTTCTGACTCCTTCAGAAAATGCCTCACCCTATCAACAACAAAAACCCCAAAACCAAAACCCCAAACAATATTCCAATAAGAGTTTTTATCCTCAAGAAACAATTTCTTCCTCCTGGAGTGTGACACAGCCTTTTGAGAACACATATCATAACTCTGTATCTTTTACTCACACACCTTCTCCTTCCCTAACCTCAATTTTCCCTTCCACAGAATCCTAGATAGTAGTTTCTCTCTTCACAGTGAATGTTCCTTATATCTTGTCTACCCCAGGTAGAGACACTGGCAAAGGGATTGGGGGTTGGGTGGAGCACAGAAAGAGTACTAAGGGATCCCTGTCCTTTAGATCACAGATTATCCCATCTGAGGAAGGTGCCATGGTTGTATTTACGTCTTTCACACTCCTGTGTTGACCATTAAGCATTCTGCTTCTGTTTCAGGGAAGATGCAGACAGATTTAGGTAAGTGCTTCATGTTTTGAGCCATCCATACACACCTGTTCTGGATTCCTCTCTGCTCCACTGGTTGAGCCATCTATATGCAGTTGTGGCTCCAGACTAAATGGGAAGCTTGGGCAGAAAATGCAAAGAGCTGACTCACTCTCTGCATCAACTAATTATTTTATTACCAGATAAATAGGAGTTTTGTGCTTAAGGTGGGCAACAGGGTCTCTAAGCTCCTTACAATTGTCTATAGTTTTCCTGCTGATGTATTTTATGGAGGGAACTCTCCATTCATGAGTTTTTTTTAAGGGTATGTGAATTCAGGATGGTAAAAATGCTGCAGGACATTTCCCTGGCTTGATTCTTTGAACCTTTATTCAGATCTGTATCACTTCTGAATATTCTCTTTTTGTTTCAGCAAATCTCCAGGAAAGTCTAGGTAAGAGCACATTCATAATTTTCCTCCCACACTTTGCCCTGGACCCCAGTTCCAAGGATTGAACCTTCTCTGTGTTTTGGTTTCAGATCAGAAAAGAAGACATACACAGGCAGGTAAGGAAATATATTCTTCCTCCACTCCCCACTTACCTTTCCCTTCCAAATCCATAGTTTAGGGAATCTAACAACAGGCCCATGGGTCCCTGCAGATGCTAGCTACTGATGGGGATCCTGAAATTGTTGCAGACATGGGTAGGTGCACTTTGTAGAGATGCACCATAATCTTCATCAGAATTCTTATGGATCTGGAATACCCCAAAAGGGCAATCAATGGAAAGCAGTATGGAGATGTCTCAAAAAGCTAAAGATAAAACTGTCATATGATCCTGTTATACCACTCCTGGGCATCTACCCAAAGGAATGTAAGTCAGTATAGAGACAGCTGTATACCAGTGTTCATTGCAGCACTATTCACAATAGCCAAGCTATGGAAACAACTCAGATGCCCTACAACTGATGAGTGGATCAAGAAAATGTGGTATATATACACAATGGAGTATTACTCAGCCATAAGCAATAATGACAACATGTGGTTTGAAGGGAAATAGATGCAATTGGAGGACATCATATTAAGTGAAGTTAGCCAGGCTCAGGACACAAAGGCTGCATGTTTTCTCTCATATGTGGAAGATAGATCCAAAAGATAGAAATGTACATAAAAACAAACATGATCAGACACAAACTCATATGCAGAACAAGTTTGTAATAGGGGAACTACTGTATGGAACTTGGGGAAGGAGGGAAAGGAAAAGAGAACAATAGAGCAGCAACAATATTGTGAAGCATAACATCTGTGAACATAGAGGAAATAAGGATATGTACCGAAAGCTGTCGAAAAATGAGGGGTGGGAGGTAAAGGGGTAAGGGAATGTAATGGAAATGGTCAAGTGGACCAAAGTAAAGTATTCTCACAGCAGGGATACCCTTTGAATATCAACTTAGATATTAATAATGAAGAAAGGACTGTAATATAGGTATACAGTAAGGGGGGTACTTGTGGGGGAGGAGGGTGAATGAAGTAGATTAAGGTGATGAAATATGATTGATTGATTTCATATACAAACTAGAACAGTAAAATCTCTTGCAGTACTTTTAAGTGAGACAGGGAAGGGGTAAATGGGGAGAGACAGTGAAGGTGATCTAACGATGTACCTATTTGTAATTGTCACAATGAATTCCCCCTATACAACAAATATATCCTAATAAAAAATTAATGGGAAAAAGAAGGGAGATCACCCTTGGTCTTTTCACCTCTTTCTTCCTCCTGTTTATCATGTGAGCACTGAACTGCCCAATCTGTCTGCTTGTTTTCAGAATGGAGAGATGCCCGGAAATATGCAGGTACCAGCACCTAAGGAGATGACAGTAGGACAGAGCTTCCAGTGGACATTAAAGAGGGAGTGGGCCAGTAACAGATTTGGGAAACACATGACCTACAGATGAGAAATCTGTGATGTTCCTCATCAACCCCAGAGTGCAGCTTATCTCAGACACATTCTTGATTCAAGTCTAGAAGGGGAAAAGGCAGGGCCCAAGTAGACAGTGTGGGGATCATAAGCAAAGCTTCAAGAAATAGAAGGTAGGGATAAGGGGAAGAAAGTACATTTGGGCAGACTAGGTAGATGAGAGGATGGTGGATAGTGGGGTCCCTTGGGTCTCACAAACCAAAGACAAGATTAAGTATAGAGAGGTTGGGGTGATGGATAGGAGTTATGACCTCACAGTTGGCATTTCCAGTAATTGATGAGGTTACACAAATAATGAGGGAAGAGTCCCAGTGCACTGTCTATTGGAGACTCCAGCTCTGGGACCTACCTGATCCCAACCTTAGACAATCAACATTGAAAGGGGTCAACCTACTGTCCCAGGCAAAGTCCAATAACTCATGCTCCCGCTCTTCCCTACTATGCCCCAGAGAAAGTGACTCTGGACCCTGACTCGGCTCACCCTCACTTCTACACTTCTGATCTGAAAGTTGAATCATCTATGACTATTCCCCAGGAAGTGGCTTTCTCAGAGAAGAGATTCAGAAGGACATGTGTGGTGGCTTCTGAGGGTTTCCAGAACGGCAAACATTATTGGGAAGTAGATGTGGGATTTAACAATAGATGGTATCTGGGAGTATGCAGGCATGATGTGGACAGGAAGGAGACAAATGTGAAATTGTCTTCCAACAATGGTACTCGGTCCTTAGACTGTGGACAGCCCAACAGTATTTCACAGTCGGTGTTAATAGAGAAAGTGTATCTGTAAAAACTCCCCCTAGGAGAGTGGGGGTCTTTCTAGACTATGAAGGTGGGTCCATCTCTTTCTTCAACATAAATGATCAGTCTTTAATTTCTACCCTGAAGCATCAATTTGAAGGCTTATTGAGGCCATACATCCAGCTTCAGATACATGGAGAGGAACTTTTAAATCCTATATTAATCTGTCCAGTGCCCCTGAAATAAGAGAAGCTTTTTCTCAAAGGGTTTCCATGCTCTGACACAGACAAGTGAGTGGACCTCTCCATAGGCAATAATCACACCTCTCATTCTCATTTAAGATATTAATTTTTCCCCTGAATGAGAGTTCTACAGTAGCCACAGTGATGGCTGCTACATGAGGTGAGAAAAGCCCATCCATGTAGAGTCAGGGTTCAATGCTGGTCTGAGGTGGAGAAGAAAGAAGGTTGTTGTGGATTTAGTTTGTGAAAACTTCATCCAGTTAAGAGACTTTGGACCAGCCACAGCCTCATGGGTCTGAATCTGTTACAATAGGATGATGACTCCAACCTCAGGAGCCATGTTAAAGATTAAAGAAAGTGATTGTGAAACATTTGCATTTTGTTAATAGCATAGTGTTTATTGACAATGTCTTCTTTAATTAAGAGTATTGTAGCAGTGTCAATTTATTGGCTTAACAGTGTGCTATAGTTATGTAAGTTGCTACCATTAGAAAAAGATAGATATAAGGTATACAAACTATTATTTTTGCAATTTCCCATGAGTCTGTAATTATTTCAAAATAAAACATTGTAAAAGTCAGCTGTGAATCTGTAATTATCTCAGATTAGAAATTTTAATTATACAAAGGTGGTTCAAGTGGGAAGCAGTTCAATGTGTATGGCAATTAAAATAAGAATATGTTAGAGTTTCAGAGATTTGGCTAGTGTTGGCCCACATGAAATAATAGTTATGTAGAAAGCTTTTGAGGATTTCCATACTTAGCGATCTGAGACAGGCATTCTAGGATACATAGTGAGAACTTGTATTAAACCAAACAAAACCTAATAAGTAAATTTTAAAAAAGAATATCAGAATAATCATTCACTCAAGAATGTTGTATAACATCCTCAACATGACAAAATTACAGTAATGAAGAATAGCTTGTAGCTTCCAGGTTGAGAAATGGGTGGTAAAGTGTGGGTATAAGAGAGCAGCATGAGGTAGTTCTTTTTTGGTGATAGATATCATCTTGATTATATTGGTGCTTAAACAAATTTATATATGTATTAAAAAGAATAATGGTTGTCCACAAATTGAAACCACAGGATGCCACTCACTGTGAAATCCACAATACATGAGGTTTAAGATAATTAATGAAAAGTCTTGTATGAATAAGTGAAAAGGTTCATGTTAATATAATATAGTTGTATGGTTATACCTTCATTCCAACCATCATGTTGCTTTTCATAATAAAGATGATTAAAGTAAAACAAAATAGCCAGAGCTACAGGACTGCAGGCTAAGGGCTGTTACTTAGGTCCAGGACAATGTTGGAATCAAACTGCAGACCTGGATTATTGGAAGCCCTGAAGACCCTTTTCTTCTGAGGCATCCTTCTGAACTTTCTCTCCCTAGGATAGCAGTGAGCAATAGTGCTATAGGGCTGAGTCAAAGTCAGGTCCATCCACTGTGCCACAGGAAATGGGCAGGGTTCCTGAGCAGCCACAAGCAGAGGAAGCAGAGCAGGTTCTGAAGAATGGACTGAGTCCAGGAGTTAGAGGAAGTCCGGGGTCCAGTAGGACTTGGTCAAATGCAGGGATTAATAAATAAGGAGGATGGTTGAGAGAGACATAGTGAGGTGTGGGGGTGGATGGGGTTGTCTAGGGAGACAATAGCTCAAGGGGTGCTTGGAAGGAGATGCCAGAAGCTTAGCTCCTGGGAGGAAAAGAAAGATTCAGAGAAGACCTTGGCTACACATATGCATACACATACATTTGCAATGCTCAGAGTTATTTTGTGTGAATATGAATGTGTATCACTAAGAGAGAAAGAGAGAGGCAGAAATATAGAAAAAGATTTTTGAGTTCCTCTCTGGGTTTTCTCTGTTCATATTGAAAAGAAAGCCTAGTAATACAGAAAGCTTGACTGAACATTCAAGATCTGATTGGGGCTAAGAAACCCCTTTCTTTTTGTTTTTTGTCTTTTATACTAGTAGATTCAATTTTTTATCAATTTTTTGGATTTATTTACTTTGGATTTATTCATTTTATTATAGGGTTTGAACTTAGGGCCTCATGCTTGCTAGGCAGATATTCTACCACTTGAGCCACTCCACCAGCCCAGATTTACAGAAAAATTGATTAGGAAATATAACTATAAAATTATGTACATATAATGTGTATATAAAAAATTTAGTTTTGTATTAGTGTAGTACTTTTGTTGCAATCAATGGACCAAAACACTGTATTAATATTAATACAATAATGTATTAATTGATTATGTTGGTGGTTATATAAATCAATACAATAATATATTAAGAATTAACACATTATTAATAAAGTACATAGTTTGCCTATGTACTATGTACTTTTGACAAATGTTTATTGACATATATTTATCATTACTATAACCAAATTTAAAGGATTTATATCTTGGTGAGTGAAAAGCCAAAACAAGCAAGGTCAAGAAATAAGAGTAAAGAAATATTTATTATCTATAAGAGATAAGGGAAGTATATGAGTTATTTACAAAGCAAAGGAATTTATTCTGGGAGCCTGTATGTATTTGTATTAGGAAAGCAATTTAGGGTTGGGCACATTCCTGAGCATGCTCAGTTAAGGAGTAGATTCCAAAACATGCTCAGGTAATGTCGTAGTTTAGGAAGGAAAGATAGGGCACACATTTTCAGGGCATGTTCAGCTTAAGGTCATGGAGCACATGTTCACAAGTTTAAAATGGCAGACAAGAACACTTTTGGGCATGTTCAGCTTGCGTCATACAGATGGTGGAAAAGAATGCCCACTCAGTTTGCATCATAAAGTTTTGGCTGAAAAAGGGAAAGGACACTTTGAAGGTATATTAATATAGGAGTTTGTACCTAAAGGTTCCTGCCTCATGAAGTGACTAGTACTACTGCTTCGTACAGAATAGTTTCACTGTCCTATAAATCACTTGTGTTCTACCTGTTGTAGAGTCTAGCAACCACTGTTATTTTTGCTTTCTCAACAGTTTTTCCTTTCCTGACATGTCATATAGTTGGAATCACTTAGTGTAACTCTTTTTGGTTTGACTGCTTTCATTTAGTAATATGTATCAAATTTTCATCCATGTCTTTTTGTGATGATAGATCATTTATATTGCTGAATAATACTCTAGTGTATGGATGAACCATGTTATTTTTCCATTCATTTATTGAAGGAACTCTTAGTTGCTTCCAAGTTTTGGTGCAAAATGGCTATACATATTAATGCATAGATTTTTATGTGGACATAAATTCTCAACTTATTTTGGTAAGTGTCATGGGGCAAGATTGCTGTGCTATTGGGAAGAATATGTTAAGCTTAGTAAGAAATTGCCATGCTGTATACTTATGTGGCTGTACTAATTTGCATTTCCACTAGTAATGAATTAGAAGTTCCTGATAGTCACAAAATAACGTGGAATTTTCACTGGAATTTAATTGAATCTATAGAGTTGTAAAGAACTGACATCTTAATGATATTGAGACTTCCTATCATTAAGCATGGAGTATCTTTCCATTTATTTAAATTATCTTTGATTTCTTTCATCAGACTTTTATACTTTTCCTCATTTAGGTCCAATACATATTTTCTGAGAAATACATAACATTTTTATTTTTCGTGCTGAGTAAATGGTATTGTGTGTTTAATTTCAAATTCCAATTGCTCATTACTTGTATAGGGAAGCAATTGATTTTTGTGTTAATTTTTAATACTGAAACATTACTATAATTACTTATTTTTGAACTTTCATTTTTATTACAAAAATATTGTACACATTTGTCATGTACAAAATGTTATTCTGAAACATTCATACATGTGGAATTGTGGAATAACGAAATGAAGCTAATTAGCATATGTATTACTTTACATTTGTATCATTTTTGTATGTAGTGAGAACACTTAAATTTTTCTTATGGCAATTTTCAAAAATACAACATATTGTTATTAACTATAGTCACCATGTTGTACCATAGATCTCTTGAACTCATTCCTGATATTTAACTGGAATTTTATGTCCTTTGACAAACATCTCCTCAACCTCACTCCCAAGCCCTCTGGATTTCTATGAGGTCAACTATTTTACATACCTCATAAAAGTGCAAGCATGTGGTATTTGGGATTTTTAGTAAATCTGTCTTTAACTGATACATAAGAAAGGAAATGTTATGGGTCAACATACAAAATATACAATGTTTTTATGATCTACATTATATGTTTAGTCAGGTTAAATATTTTTCTCCTCAAATACTTATCCTTTTTTTGTGGTGGTGGTTTGAACTCAAGGCCTTGCATTTGCTAAGGAGGCACTCAATCACTTGAGTCATGTTCCCAGCCTATAAACATTTACCATTTCTTTATGGTGAAGAACTTCAAAATCCTTTCATCTAGCTTTGTGAAATGTACAGTACAGCATTGTATTTATTGTCACCTTACTGCTACAATTGCTTATTAATCCTGGGAGATTTTCTATTTTTTTATTATTGTTGTGTTAGGGGTATATTGTGACACTTACAAAAGTTCTTATAGTTGAGTTCAACCCCTCCATCATTTTCCTTTATCTCCCCATTGCTGGATAGTTTCAACAGATATCATTTTTCCATTAACATACATGTTGCACAATATTTGCAACATATGAATCCTCTTACACCTTCTTCCCATATCCTCCTGACTGCCAGTGGTACCAAGCCCCCAGACAGGACCTGTTCTGCCCTCCTGTTCTCTGTTTGTGTTTAAAAAATGATATTTTTGTTTGCTTAAGATAGATATACATTGGTCTACTTGTGACAATTCACTTACACATGTATTATAACTTGAATTGGTTCATCTCTATTTTTCTCCTTTCTGCCTTAGTCCCCTTCTCATGGTGATTTCAACAGGTTTAAAAATTCTATATTCATTCCTGTATAGGAAGTACATAAACCATATTCACCTTCTTAACTTCCTTCTTTTACCCTCCCTCTCCTGTTATTGACCTCTCCTTAGCATGATCTGTTTTTCATAATACTGCTTGTATTTATATTAGGTCTATATTTTACATATGAGAGAAAATGTGGCTTTTGGCTTTAACTTCACTTAAGATGATGTTCTCCAGTTCCATCCATTTACCTGCAAACAACAAATTTCACATTTCTTTGTGGCTGAATAAAATTCCACTGTATATAAACACCACATTTTCTTAATGTGTTCATTAGTAGTGGGGCAACTTGGTTGTTTCTGTAGCTTAGCTATTGTGAATAGTGCTGTAATAAACATGGGAATGCAGGTGCCTTTATTGTAAACAAACTTGCATTCCTTTGGTTATATCCCTAGGAGAGGTATTGCTGAATTTTGAGATTCTGTACATTGACAATCATGTTATCCATCAAAAAAAAGTTTATTTCTTCCTTCCCATAGTGTATATAGTTTATTTCCTTTTCTTTACTTGTTTCATTAACTAGGACTTCTAGTATGATGCAGGATTTTTGTTCTAAAATTTTAGACTAATTTAATCGAATGATAACAACAAACAAGTTTGCTGGAGATGTACCTCAGGGGTAGAGCACTTTGCCTATATGCCTTATTACTATCACTGCTGAATAACAATGAAACCCTGACAGTTTATTAATATTGTAATACAGAAATTAAAGCAGTACATAAAGGGAATTTATAAATTTAAATATCTATATTAAGCCAGGCATGGTACTACACACCTATAGTCCGAGATACTCAGGAGGCTTGATAAGCTTGTCTTGGTGGCTCAAACTGGCTAGTCTTTCTGCAGTTTTCTACATGGGCAGGATTGCTCCCAAGCTGCAGTGAGAGGGATGAAGCTAATAGGGTCCCTTCAGGATCTACTGCAGAATGGAAGTTGTCAAGCCTGTCCTAGTGCCTCATATGGGTGTGTCTGTACCTTGGGATAGTTTCTTGACTGTGGTAAGAGAGACTGACTCTGAGGCAGAGACCCTTTGGAATCTGCTATGGGATCACCTGTCCCAGAAGTTCAAGTGGACCAGTCTCCCTCTGGGATCTTGTGTAAGCTGGTACCACAGCCAAATAGGGCTGGGTCCAAGTTACAGGGTAATTTTCAAGTCCACTGTCAAGACCAATGAGGCAGACAGGTCTTTCTGTTGAGGCACTTGTGTGAATGATTCCTCCCCGACCCCTTATCAGATGGTTGCAGTTGCCCAAGAGTAAGTGGGGCTAAAACCAAGTCCTTTTGGGAATCAGTTATTTCCATGTTTGAGCTCAGGATCACGACAGGCAGGTTTGCCTTCTGATTGCATGTCTGCACTGTCACCATGAGTTTCTTAGCTCTTGGGCTACACTGAGTTTTACCTCCTACCTGAGCCTCAAACCTTCTTCAAAGAGTCTTTGGTCTGTGGTTTGAGTGAAGGTTTTTGTTTCCATGGAGAATACAAGTAGGTGTCCTCATATTCCACCATCTTGCTGACATCATTCTTTATCCTTTGAATGTGCTCCACTATGTGAAACCAAGTCATGTCTGGCATTTCCAAGTCACTCACCACCTGTTGCTCCATTTTCAGCAAGCCAAACTCACAAAATTTTAGAACTCTTTCTAACTCCTCAAGCTGTGACAGAAAGTGCAGAAACTTTCCTTACTATAAAGTTAAACTCCCAATTTCTCAAAAAAAAAACTGGAACTCCCATATTATCCAGACATCCCACTTCTAGGTATACACCCAAAAGTACCAAAGTCAGCTTACCAAAGAGATACGTATATGCCCTTGTTTATTATGGCCCTATTTACAATAGCAAATAGCAATAGCAAATAGTGCTTTTGAACAGTTGAATTGATAAGCCAAGTATAGTGGCTCATGCCTATAATTCCAGCTACTCAGGAGGTAGAGTTCAGGAAGACTGTGGTTTGAGGCAAGCCCAGGTAAAAAGTTCAGAAGGCCACATCTCAATCAACAAGTCAAGTGTAGTGGCATGCACCTGTGATCCCAGCTACATGGAAGGCATTGGTAAGAGGATCATGGTCTGAGGCCAGCCCCAGGCAAAGGCACAAGACCCTATGTGAAAAATAAAGCCAAATACGCATGAAGCCCTGAGTCCAAAGCCCACAATGAGTTGAATTGATAAAGAAAATGTGACATATATATATATATATATATATATATATATATATATATACACACACACACAAAGTGAGATTTTACTCAACCATTAAGAAGTTATGTCATTTGCTGGAAAATGGATATGAGGCTAGCTAAATTAGGACATTGAGGCATGAAAACAAAAGCAGTTTAAAATTCAGGGCATTAACAATGTGAAGTGAGCTAAGAGCCAGGACTTAAAAATAAGCACTATACTAAGAACTAATTTGAAGTCTCTCACCCTTCATTAGGCTAATCATACTTTTAATCTTGTGTTAATAATTTGAGCTAGATGAATATATCCTGAGTAAATATCTCAAGAAAAACGTGGTAAAACTCACCCTTGGACCCAGGAGACCTTGTTAAAGGAAAACAGTATCTCCTAAGAATGGACTTTTCTGTCCTAAATAATATCTTTTATTTTATTTTTTTTCAACAAAATTGGTTTTATTTATAATTCCATGAATTTTTCTTTTTGAGACAGGATCTTGGTATGTAGCCCAGGCTGGCCTCAAACTTGTGATGCTAATACCTCAACGTCCCAAGTGCCACCATGCTGTCTTGTAGTCCGATTTGTGTTATGCATTTAAAAATAATGTTTTACAACAATGGGATTGGACTTTGAGCACATGATAAAAGTGAGAGCACACAAGGGAGGGGTGAGGATAGGTAAGACACCTAAAAAATTAGCTAGCATTTGTTGCCCTTAACGCAGAGAAACTAAAGCAGATACC